AGAATGGCTAGGGGGTGGGAGCAAATGGAGTTAATAAAGACGAGAATCAATTAAGGAAGGGTACCGTACCAGGGGTATGGGCTGCAAATGTTCTTAATTAATTACGGTAATTTCCAACATACCCACTGCGGTGGTTTTCTTCTGTGCTCTCCTTAACTTAACATACCAAATCAAGAAACCCTATAGGCTATTGTATACACACACACACACTTTAGATAATATCAACCAACCCACGTACATCTATCAATTAACCTTTTCATTTGATTTTCATACTCTCGCCCGCTTGGCTTCCACAATGTTGAAAACTATTTTTACACTTTTTCATTTGAAGCCTACTATACCATATTACCATGAGTGATTTTAATCTACCTTGTACTCCCTATTTACAAAAGTTATACTCACTCCGTCCCAAAAAGAATGGGGCGGTTTGACTTTTTGGAAAATTAAGAAAGAGATATTTTGGTATTGATTTTCCAAAAATACCCTTGATGTGTGATGGGTAAAAGTAGGATGTGATGGGTAGATTATTAGAAAAAAGATATGATGTGATAGGTAGGGTATGAAAAAGTAAGGGGTAAAAGTGGTTTTTTAACAGAAATGTAAGGGACTTTAAGGGACGCAGTTTTTTTCTAAACGTAACAAACTTTTTGGGACGGAGTGAGTATATGCTTTACTCTTTTCAAAATGAAGTTTACATACGGAGTATCTCTTTTGAAAATAAATTTTCTTACTTTTCTAAGAAGAACAAAATATGTCTCTCAATATTTTTTTCCTTTTTTTTAAAATTAAACTTTAATGTTCTCCACATTCCGGAATTAAAGTCTATTTTGTTTTTTTGTCAAACTTTACTATTCTTCTACTTTAAATTATGAAATAAGTATCTTTAGTTCAAATTTAATTTAATATAATCAGTTCAGTTTTAAGATATTGTTTTGATATATCAAATTTTTATGTATAATATTTCTTTATTTAAAATTTTATTTAATTTGAAGTCAAAGAATATCACGGTTTAATTAAAAAAATCGTAATGGACTTTTACTTTTCAATATTTTTTTAAAAAAAATTGACCAGTGAAATTGTAAACATGAATTTGGCACGAAATGACTAATTAATTTCGATTGTAAATAGATGATGTACATATTGTCAAAAAAATAAATGATGTACTGCTAACTTTATGTTCAATTATATGGAGAGACCAAGAAAATCCAAATCTAAAGTGATACTATGGTTTATCCTTTTTGTTTTCCCAAGCTGCATTGACATGATATTTTGTCTATGTCAAGCAAACGCGTAAACTGAAAAAACAAAAAAGTAGCGTCCATTCAAAGACCTACCAGAAAGAAAACTGCAAATAATACAACAAGTCAAAAATAAAAATAAAAAAATAAAGAAACAAATAGAGAAAATACGAGGTAGCAACCCTCGGACCGCCTGCAAAGAATATGGAGGATTGAATCATTAACACTCTAATTAGCTACTAGTAGCTCAATACACTACACACAATCACATGCCAATGCCTATACACTCATCACATCATCAAATGAGATTATCCTTAGCTTCATAGAATTTGGGATGAAATAAAGATTATTGAACTGAATGATAAGACATTTGGCCTAAACAACTGTAAAAAGATTGAATTTATTTTGGGAGTTATCAGTCGACCACTAGTAAATGGACTCCCCTCACGAATCACTGGATAACGACTTTCAGATGAATAATCGGGTTATATAGACAAGATATTGTTTAACTTTTCGTATTGACAACTGAGCTAAAAATTAATAGGACGGTAGACACCTACTGCAAGACGTGCACCTGAGAACACGAGGAAGGCTAAACCTTACTTTGCTACCACGATGAAAATTGGGAAGAGCTAGGGATCACTAGATGGAGTCATATAAGACACTCTAAATTCTAAAGCACATGAAATGATTACATTAATTTTTTTAATCGATTACTTAATTCAACCTCAAATTTTATATATCTATAATTTATTCTTTAACTTCTAATGTGGGGATACTTTTTACATTCATTATTACACTACTTGGCATTATACAATAGAGAAGTTGTCACATGATTAACAAAAATATGTAAAGAAAGAAAAATATCCACCCTAGGTGTACACCACTTGGCGTACACCAAAGGGTTGCACTATAATAGTTTAATGACTCCCACTAACACAAATTGTTATTGCAACATCTTGCGATTGTACGGACATATTGTACTGGTGTAAGCCATCAAAATACTGGTACACATGTATTCTCTTAATTGTGTACAATTTAGTATACAACAAATGGTGTGAAAGTAGCATTATTAAAAGGGAAAATGTTATAACTCAAAAATAACGTTTTGTGACTTTAGTTTTGGAAGGGAGGGAATATCATTTTAAATTAGTTTACATCCCAACCTCAATTAAATATACAATGACACAAACACACACATATATTTTGTAAATTTTTTCTGAATGTATACCATCATTTTAAATAATTTTACATTTACATGCAATTGCACAAACCCTCACCTCCTAATTAATAATGACCGTCCAATAGGGTCTTGAAGGGTCCCGGGGATGGGTTCATCCTTTTTAACAACAATTACAAATTGTTCAAACAAACGACTTCTGTTTTTAGTATGTTTTTAATCTATCCCAATCATACTAACTCGCTCACTTAATTGTGGAGTAAAATTTAAATCTTTGATTGTGCCCTTCAAGGAAAAGGGAAAATTGTTTAGTAAAAAATTTAATATGGAGATGATTGAAACAACATAGGGAGTATGTCACAAAATCACTTTTGATGGGAAAGGAGCACAATTTTACAAATACTGATTTGGAATTGAGTGATGGTATATGAGGGTTATATATAAATATTGAAGAAAGAGGTCCCCAGCAAGCCGTGCATTAAACTCAACTAACATAATTCCAACAAGAATCAGAGTAGGAGCTGAGAGAACAATAATGTTTGGTTAACCAAACTAACCATATATAGTAATTAATGATTATCACTGCAAAATTTATCATACTTGAATTTCCAATAAAACTAACAACAACCAACCCAATGGTCCTTCCCTAGCTTCATTATTCATCACACAAATGATTTTGGGAGAGCACTTTATAACCCTTTTTTCCTTAATTTTCTAACTCCAACAATCATTAATAGATGAGCTAAGATGTCAAAAAAAAAGAGATTTGTACTTCAACTTTTAATCATAAAAGCCCCAAAGGAAATCAACAAAGGTTATGTTATATGCTTGGCTCGATCTCCAATGGATGGGAAAACATCTCTCTTCACCCTTCTTTTCCATTTTCTACCCTCTTATTAGCATTATGTTACAAACATGCTAGGGTCTCGGCGGCGGCGGCGGTGGAAAGAATTGGGTACCGGCCATCATAGCGGTAAGGGGGGAGGGGTACAATGAGGGGTCAAGCAACGTGACCGGCGGTTGATGATGTGTGGTGGTGGCCGTGGAGGGGATGAGATTGAGAGGTTGCTGATGGTGGTGGTGGTGGTGTTGATGGTGCTGAGATGCTCCTCCCCGGGACGCCGGGGCTGACGAACTCTCGCCGCCGCCACCACCACTGCCACCAACGGAGTTGTACCGGGTCTCCGGACCTTGGTCATAGAGGATTCCCTTAAACACGTGCCCTCCGATGCTCACCGCCGTCTGGTAGGCGTATTGGTCCTCCTCGTCGTCCATCGCGCTCACTTTCACGCACCGGAACACCGCCGGAGAGTTCAATTCCGACGGGAAGTGAGTCCCCACTTCTAACCCTAATCCACACACAACAACACATCAAACAAATCTAATTTAATCCTCTTTCTCCTTTAATTCCAATTAAATAATCACTATGGCCTAACTCAATTAATCTAAAAGACCTCTAAATTAAAACAAAAAAGACAAATCAATTAGAGTAAAAATGAAAAGAAGAGGGAATTGACATCATTTTCATTCTCCCAAACCCCAAGAAATTTTGCGTCAGTTTCACTGAGAAATAGTGCAAGTTGGGGAATGAAATACGGAGAAGAATGTTACAGTAATAAATTAAAATAAATTTTCCCCATTCCAAACAACACGCAAGAAAATGTGTTCACGTTATATGTTTGTTACGGTAATTAAATACCATTTCTTGTCAAGAGGAATTCTACATTCTTGGGATGAAGTGATTGATTTGATTTTTTTTTTCTTTCATTTTAGTAGTAATTGAAAATGAGAATTGTGGTGGGAGATTAATTAATGTAATTCCGAGATTAATTGTGTTACCTGAGGAAGCGGTGGGGATACGGGTGCAGACGAGGGAGGAGGGGCTCTCTCTGGGGCGTTTGGAGCTCTCGCCGCCGCCGCCGCCGCGGAGGCTGAGCTGTTGCGTCTGGAGGAGCTGCTGCCTCTCGCGGCGTTTGGCGGCAGGGACCCACGTGCTCTTCAAGTGGGTCTGGCACTCGAACCCTCTGCTCTTGCAGCAAGTTCTGCACCTCAGGTGGGCGCAGTCTTTCTTCGCCTGGTTCCCGCAGTCCTGGCAGTTCACTCCTCCGCCGCCGCCGCCGCTCCCGCCGCTGCTGGTCCCCCCGCTCTGCCTCACCACCCTGTACGAGTACCCTCCGCCGGCACCGCCGGACTGCACGACGTTCTGGTGGTCGTCCCCGACCAAATTCCCGCTGCTGCTACTGCTCCCACCCGGCGCCGCGGCCGCCACCGTCACAGCCGCAGAGCTAGGGTTTTCGCCGGCGTGTCCCACCCCGACGGAGAAGTCGACGAGGTGAGGCTCCCTCTGGTGATGCATATGGTAGTACTGCTGCCATAGCTCGAAACCCTTGCTGTAGATCTCCTCGTTCTTGAAAAGATAGAGGCTACTATTGCCGCCACCGCCGCCTCCCCCGCCGCCTCCGCCACCTCCAAGAAGATCTTGGTCTTCCTGATCTTTATTTCCTCCTCCACCACCACCACTACCACCACCTAGACTGAAAAACCCAGACATTATTTTTTCCACTCCTATAAACCTATCTATGATTATCTCCCACCTCAACTTTTTGACAACATATCCTATCCTCAAACCCTCTCTCCCTCCCTCCCTCCCTCCCACGCCTACTCCTATATGATTTGATGTTGTAGTAGTAGAACTAGAAGTAGAAGTAGTAGTAGTAGTGTGAGTGTGAGTGTGTGTATATATACCACGCACCCATGTTATAGGCATCCCATAGAATTTACTCCAAAGTGTACACAAAAGTTATGCAGTAACATTTCGATAGTTCACACTGATACAATATG